GAGGGGCCACCACTGGGGATGTACAGGGGTGGAAAGAGACTGTAGCAGGGGGAGATGAGGGAAGAGGCTGGTGGGGAGCCAGAGGGGCCCAGGGGCAGGGACCAGGCACAGGAGCTGAGACAGTGTGGGGACAGGCAGCAGCTGTGGCTCCAGGTCAGAGGTGGAACTAGGTCAGAGTTGGAACCAGAGCTGGAGATGGAGAAAATGGGGAAATGGGAAGAAATAAAAAACCCTCATCTTGGATTGGAGTAAATAAGGCATTGTAAGACTTCAGGTTACCAGCCTTTGTTGACTGCACGATATACAGAAAATACCATCACACTCTTACCACAAAGTGTATATCCCACTGTTCACACTAAGTTGCAAAGGGCAAGGATGCAAAACACAGTTCTCCTTTCTGACTCTGTATCAGGTCTCATCAGGCAACCTGCCCAATGTATGAAACAGAGAGAAAGGAATATAAATGTGCACATAGAGCATTAGAATAAGCTTGTGATTCTCTTCCCAGCATGTGTAGTGAAAGCTGTCATAATGGGACTCAGTCCACTCAGAATCCGGTAAAATAAAATATATATAATTAAAGGTTTCGGTTGTCTACATCTGCGCTCCAGTCTCCTGCTAATTTTTAGTTATAGAAAATGTAGGCATTTCTTACTGCAACAGCAAGCATGGGAACGTTCCAACTGGAACATGATCCACAATAGGTTAATGTTCCCTTTAGCAGCCCACAAAAATCAGTTGCTTAGAAGTGGAATAGTGAACTAAGAGGTCAGTTAAGTTTTACTAGAAGCCTTGGTATGCATTAAAACTGAGGGCTACTTACTGACGGCTGGTGGGTATAAATATATACAACCGTGATGAGCGTCACCTAGTATCTCCTATATGATGCATATACACTAATATACATCTGGTATGCCATGAAACATTGAAAGCTGGTCAAGTTACGCTGGGAAGCTGCTCACATCAAATTTCAGCCTCCTCAGCAATTTTTGTGAATCCAGAAAGCTGTAGCTGAACCAAGGCATGATTTTGCTGACATTAATGGGGGAAGGAAAAAAGACACTGTCCTCATCTGACAAGGTGTTGTTACCAAATTTGCTTTCTCAGCAATTTTTTCTCTCTATGGCAGCAAGAAGCAGAATTTGTCACCCATCAACTGGATTTCTTCAGATCTGCTCTGACTACTAACTTCAGGGTAGGTAGTTAGTAGGTACACACTTTTAACCCAGGGTGTTACCTAAATAACTGAGGATCTGTGTTGACCTCCCTCTGCACCACTTTTGAATGCATATTCAACAACAAATAAATAACTAGGTTCATGGACTTGATTAGCTGCATAAATGCACGCTATCCAGTGCTCACTGAACAGTTAAAGGATTTGGGTTTTCAAAGACCTGACAGAAACCAAATGGATATCCCCCTAGAGCTTTATCTCATTAACACTGCATCAGAATACGGCAAAAGATTGTCTGCAGAAGCATTTGCTATTACTTAAATCATTTGTCTGGCTGCCACTTTGAAACAGGTATACAAAAGGGCTCCTGTTCTTCAAAGAAGCAGAGCCAGTGCATGGATTTAAAATAGACAATTTTTCTAACCATTTGCACTGGCCTTTGCCCCCAAATCAGGATGCATTGTTGAGAGGCTCTCTTTTCCAGTTTTGAGATGGAGGTTAGGCAGGCTGTGAAGCACTAGAAACACAGCACCTAGACCACAGGATGTTTTCCCACCATGGCTGGATTTCAGCAGAAACACCTCAGCAAGAGTTCAGCACAAGTGGATTGATGAGACATGTCATTTCCTATGTAGTGGGATGTCAGCTATGAGCAGCACCCTGAAGCTATTTCACTTTGTCACAGTACATACTAATACTCAGCACATTTGGAGTCCCTAGGCAACTCTCTAGCAGAATCTATCATAGAACTGTCCTTACCATTGTTAAGGGCATCTTTGTATGCCCCTAACAATTTGTTTTGTCTTTAATCCTATAAAGGTATCTTGATGTTTTAGGAAATATCATGAAAAACAGGCCCTTGGGACAGCCTCCTGTCAGAAGGCCACTGACCTACACTGTCCCATGCAACAGAAACTTGGGCCCTGCATCTCTCTCCCCAGATTGGCAGTTCTATTGAAGCAGCATGCTCAGGACATGGTCTCACATCTCTCTTATAGCAGGCAGAGAAGGAGGAAGAGGTGATGATCAGCATTGAGGGCTTTCTGTCCAGCCCTTCAAGTTGGGGTAAGGATATGACAAGTTGGGGCTTAGCAGGTGTGGGGAAGATATTTCATGCTGTGGGGAACTCATCCTGCAACAGCCTAGTTAGAAATATGATCTGCTTTGTTATTTTCTTTGGCTTGTTCATTGGATTGAACTAGTTTCAAAACTAGTTCATTGCTTTTCTCCCTCTTACGCATTTCCCACTTCTCTGTCTTTGTCTCAAGCTGCATACTCAGATGCAGAATCCAGAAACAAGAAGAGTTGTTCTTGTTAATGAAACAGAAGTGGCAGCTGACACTTTCCCTGACAGGCAGCCTTAAGAGCCTTTGATTGTTGGTATCAGTTCACTGGTTGAGGGATCACTTCTAAAAGCCACATCTTCTGCAAATAGAAGCTGAACAATTAAGAGCTAATTTCCAGTCCTACCAAATGAATTAAACTCAGTTGCTGAGGAGCCACAAGCTTTGTCCAAATGGTACATCATGGCAATAAGCCAAGCAAGCTGTGACCATGTTAGCTCAGGCACTGGAGTCTGCCTGGTGCAAAGGCATATTGTGCAGAGCCAGCTCTGCACATCTTGGCTCCAGACACAGAAGCAGTATAACTGCATTAGCATACTGTTGCGCCTTCTCAGCAGACTTCATTAGGATGGGCACAAAACTGACATGGCTTCTGGTTCTGGAGCTCGATCAGGTATCTCTGCACACACTTGCACCCAAGGTCATATCCACACTGACAGCCTACCAGCAAAGCAACAAAACCAAAGATCAGTAAATGAAGCACTAGATAGTATGGGACAGTGTATGGGGGAACTGGATGAGACCCCATATATGTAATCTCTCTTCCATAAGACCAGCCATGTCACTACGGCCAAGTGACTTCACCTCCCAACCTCTATATGTCTTGGGTATCAAGCTTTTTAGAGCTACTTTTTCTCTCTCTCTTACTCTGCATATGTGCAGTGTTCACTTCAGCAGCGACTATCTCAGTTGGGAGTTCTCCCTGCTACTGAAACACAAACAGTAATAATAATGAAAGCTCAGCTGGCAGCTCAGCTTTTCCACATAACATTTCCTGTTTTAAACCACAATTCATTTTCTATTCAGGAACAGAGATTTGAAACCATAAGGTTCCATTTCTTTTCCTTTTTGGTTTTGAAAGGAATATAGGACTGAAAAGGGTCTCTTCAGTCATCCTCCTGCATTCACATGCAATAGTTTACACAATAAATCTTCCAAATCCAGATACACACACGCACACTGCCAATCTGACCTAGGAAAAAAAATTCCTTCCTAGCCCCCAGTTTAACAATTTGTATGACTGACCAGAACAGCAAGATTCTCTAAGCCAGAACCTTTCAGGTTTTTGTCCCTCTTCCAAAAGTTTGCTCCCCTGTGTAAATCTTGCAAGCTTACTGCTAACTATAGCTAATTAACACAAAGATGGGGGGAAAGGAGCTTGTAAAGGCAGAATGAGCACAGGGTCCCCATTAATATCTCTGCCACACTGACCCCATCTGATCTCTGCAGGAAGATTCCCTCCAAACCTTGAGATGACTCACTGACTTTCTGGGAAAAAATGTCAACCTCCAGAAATTAGCCTGCAAGAATGGGGCCTGCTTTCAGGAAGTCGTGAGCAGTTTTCCGTCACAGGGATAAGCAACACCATCACACATCTCATTGGGCAACAGGTGATTTTGTGAGGATTCGAATGTGACCACATCTGTTATTTAACTATTGCTCTAACACAAGAGAGAAACATGAGGCACTTAAGAGACAGAAAAGATAACTTGATCTTTGTCCTCCATATGCATTTTAAGATGGACAATTAAAAAACATCAAACTTGAAATCCTGCAGTCAAAATTATTTAAGTCTGTACATATCTTGTGAGTTGTAATAAAGGATAACATTTATAGTGCTGCAAATGACTCTAAAGCACTATAAAACTAGAACAGACCGAGGTACCACAGTGCCCATAGCACAGTGCTATAGTGCTACAAACCAGGTAGAACTGTATCAAGGATAGCTTTGAAGCACTTCACAAGTGACACTTTGGCTGGCAGGTGATTGAGGTATATACTACTGAAGCACTACAAATTAAAAACACTTCAAAAAGGCAGAATTTTAAGTGCTCTATATATTCTTCTGTCCATACCCAGAGATTCAGATTTTGGGGGTATGCAGAACTGCAGTACATTTATTGCAACAGTGAAGATGAGCTAATGGCTGGTGGTTAAATGCTGCTGAAAGAAATTAACTTCTCCGTATGCAAGTTACAACATAGGTTTGCAAATGCCAATGAGGACCCCTACTATTCAGAGGTACATTTAAATTAAAAACCAGTTGTAAATGGCTGGATCTACATTATCACAGTTATGAAAGTCTGAGATAGGAAGTTGCACTGAAGTTCAACCTTGCAAATATTATCCATGTTAATATACTGGACAGTCATGATCACAAACAGCAATTAATTGAAAGTCACCAATTTCTAAAGCAAAACTGGGTAAATACTAAACATGGTGATAGTAAATAGTATTTTCCCCACTAGGATTTGGGACAGGTGGCTTATATAAAAAATAAAGAGTGCTGATTTCCTTTCTCCCATTTTAAATGGGTCTAGGGTATTACTTAAAAGTTTCTCCTTTATTTGTTATTCACTTGTAATCCCTCCCTCACTTTTTTGGAGATGGCAAGCAGTGGAGGGACACCCATCTGTTTCAACCATAGGGACTGAGCAGTATTGAAAATGGCATTCCCAATGCCTACCTTAAGTCTCACTTACCATCTCAGCAGAGGATCTAGTCAACGAGGTAGCTGTTGGCTCTGTTGTCTCATTAAATAGTGAGCTATTAACTGCAAGACAAAGAATGATTACTGTGAATGTAGTGCTTGAAGAGCAAAGAATGAGAACAACCTGAAGTTATTAAATCACCTATCACTATATCTCTTTAAAATGGTATCAAGTACAGACTTCTGTGCTCAAGCTAAAAGCATCTAAAGGAACTCCTGTGACATAGAGGAGCTTAAGTTTATTATGAATCCTGTATTACCTTAAACATATAATCACAATATAATCACAACGCTTTACTTTGCTACTCACATAACTAGACTGTAGAACTCCCTTGGTATTTTGCTGTTAATTCAGAAGTAATAAAGTACCCACCTATCCCAAAGCATCCCCAAAAAATCCAAATGCATTTTAGCTAAGTATCTAAAAAAATAAATAGGTGAAGGAGTAGTTGATAATACTAGACAGGAGACAGTGAAAGCACCAACTTCTGTTGTGGCACATCCATAATCTTTTAAATTGGATTATGAACTTTATTTTTATAAGATTATAAACCAGTTGGATTTTTAAGGCTCACTTAGATAGGTAGCCCTTTCCTGACAGTGATATTTTTTAAGTCTGTTTCCTTTTTCATTTGAGTTTTACAAATACTTTTGAAGGATACAAATATTTCAGTTCCATGAAAATATTGGAAAGAGTAAATCTTGATTCATTACAGAAACTGAAGACGTATGTTTTTGTTTTAGTGTTGCAACAGCAAGGCAGCCTGTACAACTAATGAAAGGGTTTCCAGTCCCATGTCAAGTGAGTCGTCATCCTTCTTGTGAAAATATCATGAATCTATGCCAAAAGTATTGCTCCAGATATTGAAAATGGGTTCTCATCCTGATCACATTTCATCCCTCTTAATACAGACAGGTGTAGAAGTATGTTTGAATTCCAAATTTAAATCCTGATATTTATTAGTTGGGATGAAATCTGATCACAAAAAAAAATGTACCAAGCCATGAAATGTGAAAGGAAGATGGAGACATGCATAAAAAAAACACTGCCCCTCCTTGAGCTAGAGAATTATAAAGCAAAAGTGACAAAGCAACCACCTCCCTCCCCCATCACCACAACCACCAATGTTGGTGCCTTTTATCCCTCATCACTGATTCCTGTCCTCACCAATTGCTGCAAGTGACAAATTCAGTGGCAAAAGCAGTGATACGGCAGCATAAAGAGCTGGGAAGGCTGGGGCGGGAGCAGGCAAAGATGCAGGATGCACAGAGCAGGACAGTGAAAAGAGTTGTGCCAGAGTGAGCTGCACTGCAGCAGGTGGTGGGGACCTAGGGGCAAACCCTTTAGATTGGCACCGGTGCCCCCGTTACCCACACATACCCACACCCTCTTATACTTCTACTCCATTGCTCCCTACCACCAAGTTACCACTGACATCCAAGCTCCACAGGCTGGATGCAATCACTCAGTGGGCTGGATCTGACCTATAGGCCAACCCATCATAAAGCATACAGCAAACACCTCATTCTACCCATTTCAAGATCTGTGTCATGTCCTGTTGCATCCTACAAACAGGCACAGCAGCTCAAGCAACAGGTCTTTTGTGCAGAAGAGTTTGTATCCTCTAATCAGAAACACACAGGAAAGCTGAGTCCAACAATTACCACTGTGCTATCATAGCAAACAGTCAGGATTAGTATTGATAGAACTGATATCTACAAGTGATAATCTTTTAAGCCTGAAGTCATCTCAGCTGCCAAGCAAACTGTCTCTGATTCACGGAACATTGTTTACACCTTATGCTTCAAGCCTGACGGACCTGTCTGTCTACCTGTTTGCTGTGCTCATTGCCCTCATACGAGAAGAATTTATAAAGTCAAGCAAAATCTAAAACCAGTATGTAATATCTCTTTTTTGTTTTTCCCTTTCCTTCTTAAGAACAGCGCAAGGGGAGGATTTTTTTCCCATTCCTCCAATGTTATTCATGGGCCTAGAACTAAAATCTCATCCCGCCCCACTTCTTTCTTCCCTGTGCATTTCCAGGAGATGGTTGTTCTATGGATTGAGGTGGATGGAGTTTTTAAACAATGAAAATACATTAAAAAATGATGTTTGTTTTTATAGTTCATGCATGCCAAGAATGTAAGGATGAAGCTCTCAAAGTGAAGTCCTGGTCAGGGTCCTTTGACTGGCTCCTTGATGGGTGAGGTTATTGACAAGAGCTGAACATTAGCCTCCGCAACTGTGTCTGAGGTCTTGCTCCTGGGAGTGGCTCACAGTTTTTTAAAGACTTCAGATTCCTGCAGGAGACAGGCTGAGTAACACATGCTCTCCCTTGCTCCTGACCTTAGTTGGTCTCCTGGACCAGGTCTGCAGACTGTCCATATCTCGGTCTGTACAGGAAGCCTTGGCCCTTGGCTCTTCTTCTGGTCCTGGTTTTGGCTTGTTCCTGGTTTGAGGCTTGGACCCTTGGCAGTGGGACAAACCACTTATGCCCCAGTTTCCTGATGATCCTCATGTATGGAATCCTGCTAATGATTTCAGAAGCATTAACTGGATTTAATGTATACCCTACCTCCTTGGTCCTCTCAGACAAAACCAGTTGTACTTGCACTGACAGAAATGTCTCTATCCTCCTGCCTGCAGGCAGGATTCATTTCTATTTTGCCCACGGGGAGGGGTGACCATATCTCAAGAGGCTCTCTGAGCTGCAATCACAATTTGTCAATGCACCAGTCTGACCAGCTTGTGAGAAGGATACATGCAGATTTCGAATTACACTTTGACTCTTGTGGGGGGTCTGCAAAAAAATGGTCTGCCCATTGTTAAGCCCTAATAAAACCAGAGGATCCCCCCAGGTTATAATTTTCAAATCTTACAGGGGGGGGTTCTCATCTCTTATGGGGGGACTCAGCCCCACAAGCTCCCCCATAATTCAAACCCTGAATACATGCCATCTGCATGGGTTGGCATGAGAGCACAAGCATTCAAGACAGCCCATGCACGAGCCTCAAACTGCATGGCAAAAGAGAGAAAACATGGAGGAAAGCCTCTGAACAGCATTCACCCCTGTCACTGGACAAATGGTAGTACCTCTGGTAAACAGGATGCACAATTCCTTATCCAGCTTTGAGTTGCATTTAATTTAAATAAGGAAGAAAGAGGGGAAATTATCTGGCCAAAAAGCGAATCCAGGATGATGAAGAAAGAATACAAGGGAGAGCAACAGTTCCAGATGCATATTGGCAGGTAACCCCTTCCCAAATCAGCCAACATACAACTCGGTGGTTCAGAACAGTATAGAACTAGCAAGTTCCATGAAATACTCCTCCCCAGCCTTCTAAAGTTGTCATATGAAGAACATCGGTCAACAACAGGTAATGCAAATACATCACTGATTTGACAACTGGCACCAAATCCTAACTGAATCGCAAACAAGAATGGCCAAAAAAAGTAACCAATCACAGCATAAGCAGAGAAAATTCCCTTACCAGCTGAGCAGAGCAGTTGCAGAAAAAATAATCAATAATATCTTTGCACATGGTCTGGAAGGAATGCAGGGGCGAGACATGTGAATTAAAAGTGCCCAAGTGTCATGTGCATCGGTGTCCCCCATGCTGAAAAATGGCGGCAGGGCACTTTGAACTAAAGCTCATCAAACAAGCTTTAGTTCAAAGTGTCCTGCCACCATTTTTCAGCATGGAGACGCTGATACATGTGACACTAGAGTCTGTTGAGGCGAGTTAATTTCCATGCTCCAACACGCCGGCTCCCTGCACGTGTATAGGAGCCCTGAATCCCTATGACTGAACCTGCTTTACAAACCAGCATTACACCACTACCATCACCAGCAGCTTTAGTACCTCTCCTGGTATGTTTGGTCCCAATAATGTAAGACATTTTCTCCAGTATAAAAAAACCAAACAATTTCAAAGATTTCATAGACATTAGGGCTGGAAAGGACCTCAGAAGATCATCGAGTCCAGCCCCCTGCCCCAGGGGCAGGAAGTCAGCTGGGGTCATAGGATCCCAGCAAGATAAACATCCAAATGTCTCTTGAAGACATTCGAAGTAGGTGCTTGAACCACCACCGGCAGCAGTCTATTCCAAACCTTGGGGGCTTGGACAGTAAAGAAGTTCTTCCTTATGTCCAGCCTGAAACGGTCATGGAGGAGTTTGTGACCGTTTGACCTTGTCATCCTTTGGGGCGCTCTGGTGAACAGACGTTCCCCCAGATCCTGGTAAACACCCCTGATAAACTTATAGGTGACTACCAGATCACCCCTGAGCCTCCGCTTTTCCAAGCTGAAGAGTCCCATGGCTCTCAGCCTCTCATCATAAGGTCTGTTTTCCTGACCTTTGATCATGCGCGTGGCTCTCCTCTGCACTCTCTCAAGCTTCTCCACATCCTTGTTGAATTGTGGAGCCCAAAACTGGATGCAGTACTCCGGCTGCGGCCTCACCAAGGCCGAGTACAATGGGAGAATGACATCCTGGGATTCGACTGAGAAGCATCTATGGATGCAAGCCAGCATTTTGCTCTCTTTTCTAGCTGCCACATCACATTGAAGGCTCATGTTCATCTTGTGGTCAATCATGACCCCCAAATGTCATCATGACCCCCAAGCACTACTGTCGCCCGTAGTGCTAGCCAGTGTAGCACTGATGAGTCTATAAGCATGCTGCATGTTTTTCTTCCCAAGGTGAAGAACCTTGCATTTTTCAGTGTTAAACATCATCAGGTTCTCGTCTGCCCATTTTACAGGAAGTATGACTTATGAGGAAAAGCTGAAAGAGCAAGGATTACCACATTTACCCAAATCCAAGATGACTTTCAATTTAAGACAACTCCTCAATTTGTTATAATTTTCCAGGTATATAATCTCACTGCTACAACATGGAAAACAGCAGCAAAAGGGCATACGGCAGGGAAAGCAGGTGGCCCCTCCTGCCCCCATCCCCCCACTTGCCCCTCTGCAGCCTGCACCTCATGGTGACTGCACCCCTTGCCACCTGCCCTCCCGGCCTCTGCCCCTCCCTGCAGCCTCTGCTCCCCACCTCC